AAACAAGACGCTCTCTCGAGCGTTAAGTTGCTGGGGCTTTTTAAATAGGCGCCTGCGTGATTTGCAACGAGCGGTAAGAGTATATTCAACGATTTGTGGGCTTGATTTGTAATTGTACATAAGTTTATTATATAAATAGTGACACGTTGCGACATAATGTATACAGCAAATTTAATTAACTAAGGGACGGACCATTAGAAAAGTGATGGGGGGGGGGATGTTTTAAGAGGCAAGATTTTTTTTTTGTACACCTATAGAAATTTTTTTTTCTCACTTGATGGCTGGAAATATATTTTTTTTATTAAAATTTATAGGCCTATCTTCCAGGAAAGGAATTTTTTTTGCACTATGCCTGGGAAGATTTTTTTCCCTAATTTTTTCCTGGGAATAATTTTTTTTTTTGGTTTTGCCCCCCCCCCATCACTTTTCTAATGGTCCGTCCTAAGGTCGTCCTTTCAATGAAGTGGAATCTCACAATCAGGTCCGTTGCACAAAAGTTCATCATATCGCTGAACTGAAGAATTCCTACAGGTCATAAAAGAGATCCACTGAAGAATTCCTGTTAATACCCATGAAGAGAGACCCTGGAAGAATTTCAATTTTTACATTTGACCTCTGAGAAAATCTCATTCAAAATAGCCATTACCAGATTACCCCCAAAAAATTCCACACAGAAATTTGCTTATCCCTGAGGAATTCCAAAGCTAAAAATTTATCACCTCATTCCAGCAGAATTGAAAGCCAAAATAGCCCATTTTGTGCTGGCACTGTGGCACAAGTGTACATATTTGGGCCTTGGGCTATAACAACCCCTTATTCATATTTGAGGATAAATACAGATTTGTGTATTTTTATTTTAACTTGTTTATAACAAATTTTAAAACACAAAAATTGTTTATCAGACAGTTAAGGACTAAGGAGTCGTTTGTGAATTAACCCATTGAGTGACAGCACTCTCTCCCTGATGAGTAAAATCCTTGGCATTAGACACAGTAAAATAATAAAGTAGGTCACATGAGGGTACATTGCCACTTAGAGGGTTATATGATATGGACAATCGCATATATTGGACTATTGGTGCAGAATTTAGCTTTTTGTACCTAACTGATGCATGCGATAGACCGTGGTTATATTTCACCCCAGGGCCGTAGCAACCAGGGGGGGGCTGTTTGAAATTGTAAATTTTGACATACTAAAATGCTGTTTTCTGACCATCGGAATTCTGTCAAATCTTTCCCAAAGTTAAGGAAATGGCATTTCAGAGACTCTAAATTTAAAACTTTCCTCGGGCCTTTGGCCATTGCTTTCAGTTCCCCAATCAAAAAGAGCTTCCCACAGCACTGCACTCCCTGAGCTATTGGCATTAAAGTTTTACATAACTTTATATTTAGCAGTCAGTGGTGTAGAACTGAATCGCTAACAAAGAGGGCCCTCAAAGAGGGGGGGGGGATGACAAGATGTGGGGTAACCAGGCATTGAGGGTGCAACATGGTAAATATGGATAGTTCCAGTATTCACTTTTGGTTCTAGCAATTCTTCAATCGGTGATTTTTAACTAAAGGGCTTAACATCAAATAATACACTCCAAAATATTGAAGCTATTACATGTTAGAGCTACATAAATATCATCAAATGGTTAGATCATAGTAATTAAGGTACAGATTACTGATAGATTATAAATTTTGCAATCTGCAAAAATATTGCGAGGTTAATCTTCACAATTGACATGAAATTTTTAACAAGGGGACCCCTGTTTGCAATCTATTAAATAAGCAAATGAGTTGCAAGTAAAAATCATGAATACATGATGCAGTTTACAACATGAACAAGTGAGTTTTTAAGCTAATAGTTCAGTCCTATAACCAGAATAATAAGTGGACCTTATGTATTAATGTTAACATAATACAGCCAATGGCTGCAAGGTTTATCAATTAAAAACATCTATCTATCTAAGAAATACCAATCCAAGATTGTGTGTCACGTACCTCGTGTGTCACTTCAAAACAGCCAACATTTGAGCCTTCTTGTAAATAGAGCTAGCATGCAAATATGACAGTTCCAATACATGTAAACAAATACGAGTTTTATGCAGGGAGCAACGAGGACTATAAGCCATATTAAAGCGTATATAGATGTAAAACTTCACAAAACAAAAATATAAACGTTCAGAAATAACGGTTCGACGAATAAATAACACAGTTTAATATTGTCAGTTAATCCACCTCGGAATCTACTCCACTCCTCGATAGTGAAACGTCGACATAATTCTGTATATTCTTGATGGATTTCTTTCAAAAAGCCCCCAGAAGAAAAAGCGTGATTAAAAGAACAATTTGACGTTCACTTTATACACTTACGAAGACTATAAGACCGTTAAAATAGCGAAAATGTATGCACGTATTGCTTCGTATATAGATCAGTGGCAATTTCCATTTTGCGACTATCCATGGAGAAGGAGACGGAGAAGGAGACCAAATTCACCCGAAACCTATAGTTGCTGGCACAGGTGCCCCAGCAACTAATTATGCACAATTATTCTCACTCGTGACCACAGAAACTTTGGGAGTGTAAACTGATGAAATTTGGCCAGCCTCATTCAGCCTCATAGAGTTATTTTCATAAAGTGGAAACCACAATGTTGGTGTAGGTGCTATTAATTTTGCATACGCGACATAGAGGCTCGGCAGTGAACGGCCAATTATTGTTTTTGTTTCCTGTTTTTTTGTCTCTTTTGAATGATGGTGTGAATTCGTCGCTCTTCAGAGTTGAACTTGAAAGTAAGATTTAAAAATGGCGGCGAACAACAGTGTTGATATTTCCAAGTTATCTGAAGTTTTTCCACTGACGTGGTCTGTTGATACTAAACACGATGTCTTTCAGCGATGGTCACAAGGTAGTTTTTCTTTGGTATTAGTCGATATGTGCATTCAAAGTTACATTCTGACAGCAGAACTGTTCAAACAGTAATAATTGCGAATAAAATATAGTTGCGAAGTCTTTATACATGCACTCTTACCGTCATACGCATTTTAGCGTGAGTGTTTGAATGTCATCTCACACCTATCTCGTGTGTACCTATAAATTTTAGTTTGCAGTGATAACCAATTTGTATAGTGACAGTGTGCAGTGATAAACAGCTAATATGTGCAGTGACAAATTCATAATTATTAATAGTCTGAATCCACTAAGGTGCAATTGCTGGCCAGGGACACTTTTTGACATTTATATTTTGTCAGTTGTTAAAAATAGCTTGTGGCGGCATCTTTGAACTGTCATCCTCATCCTAACCTGAAGTTCAGGCCCTAATTTGAAATAGGGCCTGACACAAAACCTGTCTAGACCGTGAGACGCCCACATGTTATTTTTAGACACACATGCAATATGATTGACAAGTGTTGTAGATTTCGTTACACAAAAAAATTATGTTCTCATGAACATGTCCGCAGAGCATTTTGCTTTTTAATTAAACTTAAGAATTCAAGGTACTTTTATATAATTAAGAGTCAGTTTCTCTATTTAACCGAACAGGCGAACAGCAAACAAAGATTTACTGTAATTAGTCAGTTCTGTGCACGGCTTGACTGCTGCCAAGCTTTCTCAAGGTCTCAACTTGCTGGACGCGGATATACTCTAACGACTAACGGGCTAATAACAGCAACAATTAAATTCTCAATCATACCACGAAGAAGGCGATGTAGCTCAGAAAACAACGCCGGTAGGACCTGATATTAAAAATAAGACTTTTGCCGGCGAAGCAAGTGGGCAGAACATCTTGGCAGTCAACAACAACCTTTCGAATACAGGACTAGTTTGGCTGTTCTTTCAGCGTCGTGTATGTCCAAAATTCGTCAAAGATTTTGATGAAGCCCTTTCAAAATACTGTTTGTTTGATTTATTTACTTCCATAAAGCATAAAAGGAAAGAAATTCGAAGAAATCGATAATGCATGGAATTTGTTACGTGCGTTTGACCTTTATATCAATTCTCGCCTTGACCGAGCTATTTTTAAAACTGTTGTTTATGTGAACTTGCAACCAATCAAAATCCTTCATGATGCTGATCAACCAATCAGATTTCCCGTCCACCAGGTGGACGGGAATCCCACACTTTAGACAGGTTTTGTGTCAGGCCCTATTCTGTGATAGGGCCTGAACTTCAGGTTATCCTCATCCTGGCAACCGAGCCAGCCCGCTTGCGAGTGTTTGTATGGAAAAATTTTCATCCTGGTATGAGAATTTGACATATGGCAACCAGGTCAGCCATGATGATAACTACATAGTTACTCAAGATAACTTTTGTTAAAGGGCTTTAATTAAGAAGTTTCTTTGCATTACCCTCCATTGTAATGTCCATTGTGCACCGTATCATATGTCATTTTATGTTGCACCTATAGGGTTTTTCTTTAGCGAAGATGAGCCAACAGCTTTGGTTCAAAATTATGGAGGCCCATGTTCAGTAATTGCATCTGTACAGGTTGAGTACTTTGGTTGTGAACATTCTAATAAATGTTTTACAGTAATTCTTTATTTATGTCATTAAGATTATAGGAAACCCTAAAATTTCAACAAACAATGGGTCATTCCAGAAAAGATCCACACTCCCCCCACAGAGGAAATTTCTTCCGTCCGGAGAGGGAGAGGAAAAAAATTGTTTGTGATAATAGTAAATGTATTAGGACATCCGGAGCGGGTAGGGGGGTTAACTTCCAATTTCCTCCATGCGGGTGGTATGGATGTTTTCTGGAATGACCCGATTGTGTAGTTGTAGCTTAGAAATTTAGATCTGTTGTCAGGAGGAATATCATATTAATCTATAATAGGTGGCAATGCACCCAGATGCGCCCTACTTTATTATTTTACTCTGTCTAACGCCAGGAGATTTTACTTGTCTGGGGAAGAGTGCTGCCACTCAATGAGTTAATTTGACTATCTGCCTAATAGTATGCACCCTGTTAACTCTTGAAGTGGCAATGCACCCAGATGCACCCTACTTTATTATTTTACTTTGACTAATGCCGGACGATTTTACTCTGTCTAACGCCAGGAGATTTTACTTGTCAGGGGGAGAGTGCTGCCACTCAATGGGTTAATTTGACTATCTGCCTATGCACCCTGTTAACCCTTGAAGTGGCAATGCACCCAGATGCACCGTACTTTATTATTTTACTTTGACTAATGCCGGACGATTTTACTTGTTAGGGGGAGAGTGTTGCTACTTAATGGGTTAAAGAATGCTTTCCGATATGCTTGGCGGGAAAGCTAATTAGCATTAATATCAATTTTCGGAACACATTAATTTTGAGTCATACAGTACTATACACGCGCTAAAAAGGGAACGTTTTAACTGACTGCATGTTCTTAATTGAATTTGCATACATTGTAGAACGGTGTTCTTTGTTCGTGTGAGCTTTGCAGGCCTTTAGTTGCAAAGTTACAAGGCTAGCCTGTTGTTGTGCACAGTGCGAGGGGTATAGAGAGAGAGTGACACACCCCAAAATACAAATCATCTGGATTGGCCTGCAGGGCAATCAAAGATTTTAAGTGATAGAATGTAGAGTTATTAAGTAACTTACAGGGCTTTCAGAGGGAATTGAATAGAATTTATAGACCTAAATTTTGCAGATATTGCAGTGTTTCACCCATGTTTTAACAGGAATTAGTACGAAAAAAAATTTTTGACCCTTAATTTAACTGGTTTATGTCTGGAAAAATTTCGCTGGCTCTTTTTCTAATGTCTGGAAAAAATTTGTTCACCCCGCTAGTGTATAGTAGTGGCCAGGAATAAAATTTGCTGCAGGGCATCATCGGTTTTGGCAGGACAATTCTGGCAGACACCCGCCCCTGGTCCCTGGTTGTGCATTGATACCTAGGGTATAAAACAAAACTTAAACAAAATTCACCTGGATAAATTGTTGTGTGACTTTGATTTTATATTTTAAACCAGGCATATACTGTAAGAAGGGGGTGGGGAGGTGAGCTTCTTAAACAAGGGTTTATCATTAAAAGTATTTGAAGATTGAAGCTAAACTGTCTGTTTATATATTAGTCATTTTATTTTGTTATTATAAAGTCATATAATTATTCAATTCAAATATAATTTTGTTTTATGTCGCATTTCGGAGTTTTGAACGTTGTACATGTAAAAAAATCAAAATTGTAAAATTGTATAATATTATGGTTTCATAACTATCCTTACAGGAAGTTAACTAACTGGACATCTAATGGCTGAAAATTTCAGAGGGTTTAATCTAGATTTTAAAATTCCCTGGGGCTGGGGAACATGCCTGTGAACCACCTACTGTACAGTTGTTGTTGGGTTGTACCATTTGCACCACATTCATTTGGTATCCTTTTGCCTTGGATGACCCAACCCAATTATCTGGTACAAATGAGTCTGGGCAACAAGTTTATCACATGAATTGAATTTCTATACATAACACAACATGAAGCGTTTGGTCCAACATGTAGGGTGTTAGCCAGGATTTCAAAAGTGGCCGTCCAAAATAATTTTGTGGGCGTGGCCACAAATTTTTGTGGGCGTGGTCACATGCTTCTGGGCGTGGCCGCAATTTTTTGTTGCTGTGGAATTGTGGTGTTGTATTCGTTGAAACTTTTTACTTTTAGATGCACGTTTCCGTCATTAAATTAGTAAAAGCACACATACGGTTGAACCGTATGATCACTAAAGTATATGCTATAATGAAGAACACAATACAGCAGTGCAGTGCTTAGTTGGGTTTTTTTTATCAATCGCCGATATTTTCCCCCCTTTTTTATGCGTTTGGCTCATTTTATAGCCATCTTTACCGTAACTGTAACTGGCGCTCGAGCGATAAAGCGATTGCTGTCTTTTAAAACAGCAGTTTTAAATTATTCTCCTTGATTCTTCATGCGAGAATCATCAACATGGTTACAAAAACATGGCGCGTTTGTCGACGGTATATGTTTGTCAATTCAGCCATATTCAACGTGTTTTCGAGAGGAAAAAGTATGAAAACATATACCATATGTAAAGTAAACAGCAGATAACAACAATTCGAAGTATTCAAGAAATATTACAAAGCTTGTAAATTGCTATTTAAAGAAAAATAGAAAATATTCCCTTAGGCCGTCCATGGCCGTCCATTAAAATTTAGCCGTCCGAATTCAGAAGTGGCCGTCCGTAGGACGGTCGGACGGCCGCCTGGCTAACACCCTGCCAACATGTTTCTTTATCAATAGGCATATTTGGCAAGGCAGTTGATTTTTAAGAAGTACAAGAAAGCAGAAAATGAAGATTGGCGAAGGATTAATGGTACAGTACATGAACTTAAAACAGCTGTGCATGGAGAAACCCAACGACCTGAAAATATTATAAGCAGAACTTCGACTTTTTGAGCGAAGGTCCTTAGTCGGGCAGTCAGTGCTCAGTAGCTACATACTAAACATTAGTTATTAAATTTATAAATATACCGATTAGTTATTAAACTTATAAGTGAAACTTATTATACAATTACTTTATCGTTTCCGTGTTTGGATTGCTTGATCCAAACACGCGGGAATGTTGCAAGAGTTAAGAAAAGCACGCGAAAACACGAGCCGAAGGCGAGTGATTTTGGGCGCTTTTCTTACTGCGATTTGCAGTTGAGCTTAGAGACAAGAAGTTTTACCGCGCAGTTTGATCGTTGAAACGCACAAGTTACCAAGGGCAAATTCAAATGTTGTTCAAGCGGAAATGCGAATGTTGTCATGGGAGATTTAGGCACTTTCGGCCAATCATAGTGAGGAAGGCGTTGCCCCAAGCACAGAAATTATTTGTTTGATTTGGGAAAACGCCTTCTTCACTATGATTGGCCGAAAGTGACTAAATCTCCCATGAAAACATTCGCATTTCCGCTTGACAACATTTGAATTTTCCCTTCGTAACTTGCGCGTTTCAACGATCAAACTACGCGGTAAAACTTCTTGTCTCTAAGCTCAACTGCAAATCGCAATAACTCGAGCAACATTCCCAAGTGTTTGGATCAGGCCATCCAAACACGGAAACCATAAAGTACGGTAATTGTTTTATAAAATAACAACAACACGATAGTCTTCCGTGTTTAGATGCCCTGATCCAAACACGGGTTTCGACCAATCAGAGCACGCGTTCTATACATGTTATTTTATAAAAAGTTTTTATACTACAACATGTCAACATCCCTATTTATTAATTAAAGGGCCGGTCAATAATGGGAGGAGAATTGATGGGGTGGTGAAATATTCCTAACATTTCACTTTTTCTTGAGATCACCACCAACGGAAAAACATTTATTGTCAAGACGCCCTCGAACTCCATGTCGAATAATTCAGAACTCCCACCCCCCACCCCCTTCCCCGCAGATTTTGTACGATTTTAAAACTTACGTTGTTAAAAGACTTGCGGGCGTTGCTGGCATAGTCGTCAGAGCTAGCTACCGTCTCCTATGAGAGTGTGGGTTCGATTCTTTCGTTGTCCACTCATGTGGAAAGAGTCGGTCAACGCTCTGCCAAAAGTCGTGGGTTTTCTCTGGGTGCTCCGGTTTCCTCCCACAGGGAAAGTTGACAGGGTCAGTTAGGATAAACACAATTTGACAGTTAAGGAAGTAATATCACAAATTCACAGTTGTTGTAAAAATAAATAGTCTAGGCTAAGTATGTAATTGTAAGTATGGTAAGCGTGCAGACACTTGATTTGATCATATCCTCATGTAAAATTTGCGCCATATAGAAATCTTAATTGAGGCTGCTCTTGTTCCGGAAGCAATGTGAAGCGGCGGGGGCAGCCATTTCAAAAGGGCACTTGCTTCTCAGCCATCGTTTTTCTGGGCGGCATTATTTGTTAAAATGTTACTGACGTGTACGGATAAGGCGGACTTCAATGATTTGGATTCTTGCACTTCACTTGGTGGAATTAATATTAGTTGGATTACAAACCCTAACATTCTAATATTAATTCCACCAAGTGAAGTGCAAGAATTCAAATCATTGAAGTCCACCTTATCACAACCCGCACACCCGATTACCTATATATGCATGAACTTACGGTTACAGCTCAACAGCTGGCCTCTGTAGCTCAGTTGGTTAGAGCGCTGCACTGGAATCGCAGGGCCGTAGGTTCAATTCCTGCCAGAGGACGTTGTGCTGCATTTTTCGCAGTCGTTCCTGGTTAGGTCTTAAAGTGTATATATTCTCACTTGGATTACAAACCCTAACATTCTAATACTGTATGGGTACCCGATTACTTGTGGCTATTATGGGTCGGCAAACTTCGACATTAGTTTTGAACAATTTTATTCGTTGCACCTTGCTAAGGGCGCAAAATAAAATCAGTAAACGGACGTATATTGCCTGATTTAGCATTAATTTTACTACAACTGGTTAAAAATTAAGCAAAGATTGCTTAAACATTGTTTAAAAATAGTTATAAATTCCAATTCTTGTGAATAACGCACGAATTTAGAAGTGCAGTTCCAGTAAAAATGGCGCCCTCGTGCTGCCCCCACATGCACTGTTTGGGCAACGGGGGCAGTTGCCCCCGCATGGCTTCGGCTACCCTGAGACCAACCCTCTTTTCTTGCCCACTGTCCCTCCTAATATTAATGTCCTGCCCCTAATCTTATTAGTAACTCATGCATAGGTTTGCAATACTAACATGTTTTTCTGCTTGTTATAGATAACGATAGACGGAATTTATTGTGTCAAACTCTTCTCGATATATGGGAATTGGTTGCCACAGAAAATTTTCAAGTGGTTCTTATGAAAAATCATTATATTAGCGAAGGAAGTGAAAATGAGAGATTGGAAACTGTACAAACTATTGGCGAGTCATCCACTCAAGGTTTCTAGCTTAGACAATTATGCAATTATGTCGTCACACTCATAACGTCTTTGATATTCGACATAAAATATTGTCTACAAGTTGTCCACTTATATAGCTTGCCTTGTAACAACAAGGCTACAATTAAAACTTTGGTTGTCATAAAAGCTTTGCTTGTCATATTTTCCAGGTGAAGAAACTTGTGAATGTACATGCAAAGATTATCATAAAAACATATGTTCACAAACAGAATCTCAAACTCAAGATGTTTTTCATTCAGCATTAAGGTATGATAGCT